AGAGAGAGAGAGAGAGAGAGAGAGAGAGAGAGAGAGAGAGAGAGAGAGAGAGAGAGAGAGAGAGATTTCTTCCTCTTCTCCTCTCCATCTTTGCCTCCTTCCTTCTGAGGCTTCAGGGAGAGAGGAACGGAGAGAGAGATCTCAGATCAGAGAAACTTGGTGACTATCCTGGGGATATATCTCCTGGTTCCATTCGATACTGGGTTAACTCGATACTGGGTTGGGAGGCAATCGGACGCAGAGAATGTGTGGAGGAGAGGTTATTATTATCTCCTGGGGAGCTTGTAATATCTGGGACTTTCTCGTCCTCACCCCTTCGTCTTCGCCCTTTTCATCCCCTCATCATCCATGGTGCTCCCCATGAGTGTGCCTGAGCAAGGAGGAGGATTTCTCCTTTGTGTGCCACCCTCCTTGCCATCTCAATGTTGGTGATGAGTTCATTCAACTTCATCGTCAGATTTCCGTTTTCCATAAAAAATGGGAGTGATTGTTCTCAGACTTGCGCTGCGTTGTAGTGTTGGGTTTCTCTCCAAATTTTCTCTCCATAAATGGGATTGTCAGTGTTCTTGGGTTTGCACCACACATAGTATGCGACACATTAGCTTCAATGAAAGCTTCAGTTGTCGTGAGAAGAATTTGGATGCAAGAATCATGTCGTGTAATTCCGTTTTCAACTTTTCATTTCTTTGAAATTCTTTCACTTCACTTGTCTGTCGTCTTTTTCTTTTTCTGATTCCTTTTCGACTGGCAACTCATTCCTTTTCCACTCTACTTAACTCCATTCCTTCTTATATTTGCGCAATGGTTTGACATTGACAGCCGGGTCAACACCTGGCAGTGCCATTTCAGACGCTGCAACCATGCGCAACACTGAGAAAGAGTGGGACATACAAGAACAGCCAGCGCGGCTCCGCCCGCGTAAGAAAAGGAGTATTGTTGATGATCAAATTGTTGGGAGCGAGGAGAGCGGAGGCTAAAGCATTGAAAATTTGATGAGTGCGTGAAAATGTTGAATTTGTTGTGTTCCACAGCAAGTGTAGCACTGAGAGGCGCTTGACTTGTATTGTACTGCAGAGGGCGAATAAGCAGTGACAAACGAAAAGGAAGGGTGTGCAGAACATGGGGAAGGGGGGAGGGGGGGGGAGGGGGAAGATGACATGAAAGAGGACAAAGAAACGGACTGTATGTTATGTGGAAACCTGAGGGCTCACCTGGTTCGTGATTGCTGTTCCATTTGGTACTGAGGCACTGTGAGCAAGTGGCAATGAGAAGCTGCATTTCTTTCTTGTTCTATGTGGTGCCAGCACGCATCCAAAAGGGTATGGCTGGAACTGCAGTCAGTGGGTCAGAAAGTCGAAATATGTGTGTGAAGAGAGAGAGAGAGAGAGAGAGAGAGAGAGAGAGAGAGAGAGAGAGAGAGA